GAGCTCAAAAACAATTTTAAAATTCAAGTAAGAGAGGTAGAGGAAAAATTGGAAGAGAAATGAGAGTGATGAAAGAAAATAATGAAAAACAAGTCAACAGCTTCATAAAGGAGATACAAAAATACTGAAGAAATAATACGTTACAAAACAGACTAGGCCAGATGGGAAAAGAGGTCCAAAAAGCAGTGAAGAAAAGAATGCCCTGAAAAGCAGAATTGGCCAAATGGAAAAGGAGGTCCAAAAAATCACTGAAGAAAATAATTTCTTGAAAATGAGAAAGGAGTAAAGGAAGCTAATAATTCATGAGAAATCAAGAAACAATAAAAATAACCAAAAGAATGAAAAAATAGAAGACAATGTGAAATATTTCATTGGAAAAACAACTGACCTGGAAAATAAATCTAGGAGAGAGAATTTAAAAATTATTGGACTACCTGAAAGCCATGATCAAAAAAAGAGCCTAGACATCATCTTTCAAGAAATTATCAAGGAAAAACTGCCCTGATATTCTAGAACCAGAGGGTAAAATAGAAATTGAATCAATCCACCTAACACCTCCTGAAAAATATCCCAAAATGAAAACTGCCAGGAATATTATAACCAAATTCCAGAATTCCCAGATCAAGGAGGGAATATTGCAAGCAGCCAGAAAGAAACAATTCAAGTATGCTGGAGCCACAGTCAGGATAACACGAGATTTAGCAGCTTCTACATTAAAGGACCAGAGGGCTTGTAATATCATATTCTGGAAGACAAAGGAGCTAGAATTACAATCAAGAATCACCTACCCAGCAAAACTGAGTACAATCCTTCAGGGGGGAAAATGGATATTCAATGAGATGAGGACTTTCAAGCATTCTTGATGAAAACACCAGAGCTAAATTAAAAATTTGACTTTCAAATACCAAACTCAAGGGAATTGTAAAAAGGTAAACAGGAAAGGGAAATCATAAGGGACTTAATAAATTTAAACCATTTATATTTCTACATGGGAAGATATTTTTAAGTCATAAAAGCTTTCTCATAAATAAGGTAGTTAGAAGGAATATATGTAGACAGAGGGCACAGGTGTGAGTTGAATATGAAGGGATGATATCTAAAAAATAAAAGTAAGAGGTAAAAGAGGAATGCACTGGGAGAAAGAGAAAGGAGAGGTAGAATGGAGTAAATTGTCTCATAAAAGAGGCAAGAAAAAGCTTTTGCAGTGGAGGGGAAGAGGGTGGAGGTGAGGAGGAGTGAGTGAACCTTACTCTGATCAGAACTGACTCAGAGAGGGAATAACATACACACTCAATTGGGTATAGAAATCTATTTTAGCCTACAAGAAAGTAGGAGGGTAAAGGAGGCTGATAGAAGGGAGGGAAGATTGGAGGAGGGGGTAGTCAGAAACAAAACACTTTTGAGGAGGGACAGGGTGAAAGGAGAGAGAGAGCATATAATAAATTGTGGGGGAATAGAATGGTGGGAAACACAGTTAGCAATAGTAACTATGAAAAAAATTTTGAAGCAAGTTTCTTTGAGAAAGGCCTCATTTCTCAAACATATAGAAAATTGAGTCAAATTTATGAAAATAAGAGCTGTTCCCCAAATGATAAATGATCAAAAGATATGATCAGTTTTCACATAAAGTAATCAAAGCTATCTATAGCCATATGAAAAAATATTCTTACTTTTGATTGGAGAAATGCAAATTAAAACAATTCTAAGGTACTACCTCATACCTATTAGATTGACTAATAGGACAAAAAGCATTACAGGTAAATATTTGAAGGAATGTGGGGGGAAATGAGACATGCATACACTGTTGGTAGAGTTGCGCACTGATTCAACCATTCTGTAGAGCAATTTGGAACTGTGCCTAAAGGGCTATAAAACCATGCATACCCTTTGACCTAGCAATACCACTAGTAGGCCTTTATCCCAAAAGAGATAAAAACAAAAGAAAAAGGACCTATATGTGCAAAAATATTTATAGCAGTTCTTTTCTAGGGATAAAGAATTAAAAGTTGAGAGGATGTCCTTCAGTTGGGGAATGGCTGAACAAGCTGTGGTATGTGTTTATGATGGTATAAAATAGTATTCCACAGTACTACTATCATACAATAACAAATAATGGGGGAAAAAAATAAAAGAAATGATGAGCAGATGCTCTCAGAAAAAACTTAAACAACTTTCATGGGCCGATGCAAAGTGAAATGTACTGTGTAACAGCAATATTGTAAGATGATCAGCTGTGAATAACTTGGCCATCTCAGCAGTACAATGATCCAAGACAACTCTGAAGGACTTTCGATGGATCCATCCCCAAACAAAGAACTTGTGGTGCCTGAATACAGACTGAAGCATACTTTCTTCCATTTTCCTCATTTTTTACAACATTGCTAGTATCAAAATATGTTTTGCATAATTTCACATATATAATTGATCAACTCGTTGTCTTCTCAATGGGTAGGGGGAGGGCTGAAAGATGGTAGAGAATTTGGAGGTCAATCTTTTTTTTAAAAATACTATTTTTAAAAAAAAGGAAAAAATTTTTCAAGCTCTCTTGCCGAGAGACAGAAATCTATTTCTTTAGCTAAATAATGAAATAGTGAAAATGAAGTTATAGTATAAAAATTTACTTTTCTACTAGCTAGTGATAGGTGCTATATCAAGTCTTAAAAGTACCTAAAAATAAAAATGGAGTGCTTTGCCAAGAAATGCTAACTGCTATTTTCATGGGGTTACCTAGAAAACTCTCCTTCAAGTTTACAATGTCTTTTTGAGTCCCTGACCACAATTGTGAGATTCTGTATGCTGCAACAGACATTCAGAGGCATTCCTCAAATAGCTGACCTCTTGGCATATCTGCCCACAATATCATTGCTTTCACTTGTAATGTAAAGGATGAAGAGCTTGTGCTGACCACAGAAAGTGATCACGTTGGCCACTTCCTGGTCACTGGTCTTCTGGACACCGTTCCTATTCTTTTAATACCGTGGCTTCTTTGCAGAAATCCTTTTGTCCATTTTGTTGCATAGTTTAACTACCACTAATCTTACTGACAAAACTTAATGGGCCAATCAACTTAACAAGTCAATCTACCACATATACTGAAAGCAAATGGATGAGGGACAGTGTCACCATCCCCATCATCCTTCCTTCCAGCTGTTTCTTGTGCTGCCCCATGATCCATGACCTTCTGAGCTACAGACCAAGAGAAAGCACTGGGGGTGATCTGCATATTCCATATTAGTGAAGCTATGACTCTTACTCAATTTTGATGAAAAGAATACACAGAATTCAAAAGGCTCCTATTTTTCCCCAATGCCAAATCATCTTATAACTCTCTGAGAACAAATGCTACTTTGGAGAACATTGGGGAAACTCACATGGGCCTTCCCTAGCTGCTGAGCCACAGCACCCTACCCACTCTCACTGGCCTACAATGAAGCCATAATTCAGGTGCCCATCAACTCCCAAATATGAGTGGAGAAGTTCTCAGGGTCTCCTCCAGGGCTCCTGATGTTTTCATTTTTCAGAGCAGAATTGGCCCCCAGGCTCAGTCTCCTGACTTTCAGGGCACCTGATCAGGGTAAGTGGAGGGAGAGGGCAATGTCAATCAGAGCTAGAGATGTTCTTGGGTGCTGGCCCTGTTTCACAAAGCTTTCCACAACAGCAATGTCATACCTGACTCCTCAGTTGGCCTCAAGCTACATATCCATCAGTTACCAAATCTTGGCATGTCCACCTCCATCTGTCCCCTTCTTTCACTCCCACGGCCACCCCACAAGTTCAGGATCTTATCACAACTGGAATGATAGCAATAATTTCTTCATTGTACAGCCTGCTTCAAATCTCTCTCTTCTCCAATCCACCCTTCACAATTGCACAAGGAAATGTTGCAAAGTCCAGATCTGATGTCATCACTCCCCATTCAACAGACTCCAATGGATCCCTCTCACTTATACTACCAAAGGTCACATTTATTGCCTTTGAAAACCCTTCATGACCCAGCCAATCTTTCCAATCCTATTGTAGATTATTTCTTTTTTCACACTTTGCAGCCAAGCCACACCAACATTCATACCATTCCTCTCACACAATACCCCATCTCCCTCATCCATACTTTTACCTTACCAGTTTTCCATGCCTGAACTGCACCCACATGTCAACCAGGCCTCTCAGAATCCCTCTTTTCCTTCAAAGTTCTGCTTATGTGATAACTCCTGCATTACAACTTCCCTGCTCCCTCCTCCACCAGTAACTAATGACTTGCCCAACAAATATATATTTGCATATATATATATAGCATTTTTAAAAATTATTTCTATGTGTATTATGATTCATGTTGTTTTGCCCAATTGACTCTAAACTCTGATTTCTGTAATCCTAAACCCATTATTTATGTAGGAACAATATGTGGTCCTGGCAGGAGCAAAGACTATGAGGTCTTCACCACTGCCACTTAGTGCTATCAGCCTATTAGGCATGGCAACCTATTATCTCCTACACAGGCTTGGAGGACTCAGAGTTCAGCACAAACAATCCCCCATACCATTAAAAGAGATTTTCAATTACCCTCTCACCTCACATTACACTATGGTCTCTAAGAGGTTCTGACCATCAAGTCCCCAGACTATAGTAGCAGCTCTAACTCCCTACATGGCTCTGACTCCCAGAATCCCAAGAGGGAGATCAGTTTCCTTCCCAGCCACATTTCCCAATTCTCAGACATCTCCCAACTTCAGCAACTGGAAGTCCTCATTCCCTAGTGGCCCCTGGCACCAGAGGGTCACAGCTTCTGGGTGGAGCCCAGGGAGGGAATGGTGGGGAGAAGGCAGAGCTTGGATTCCCTAGGATTTCTCCCTGTCCAATGGCATCCTCAGCTTTAGTTAACTTCTCCCAGAGTCACCCCATGTTCCCCAACCTCATCTTCCTGATGCTCTCTTGGTTACTCCTTGTGACAAGCTGAGACTAAGGGGGAAGGGAAGAGGGTAGGTTCTGGAAGAAAGACTCACCATTACGCACCTCCATTGCCTGACCCAGGCTTAGTCCTGTAAAGCAAGTTCAGATGATGAACAGACATTCACAGCTGCCCCTCCTCACTTCTCCACAGAGCAATTTCTGTGCTCAGTCAACCCTGGCCAGGAACAGGGAGGAGACAGCCAAGATGCCTGGTCTCTACTCTGTCCAGGATACTTCTTGCTAGGCCTCAGTGTCCCTTTCTCTCCCACAGTTTGCTGGCCAAATCCTCCTCAAAGTGGCTTCTCACCCACCTCAAACCCAGCTTTGGCACTCACCAAAAAGGAGTAGGGAGATAAATGTGGGGGACATGCTGGCTCCTCAGACCAGTCCAAAGCTGGTAGCTTTAAGTAAGCAGAGGAAGGGAGACAGGAGTTCTAGAAGCTGGAGCCAGGATGTGGTAGTCAGAACTGCTGTCCAACCCCTGACAGCCAGGCCCCACATTTTTCCGCTCTGAAAGAGCTCAAGTAGAGAATGGCTTACACAAGCCTTACAAAGGCCTAGGGTCTCAGACAGCAAGTTAAAGACCCAAGACATGAGTCATCACACCCAGTGCTAAAGGCCCAGGGCCTCAGCAAGAAGCCTAGTGTCGAGACCACCAGAGCTTCCATGATAAGGCTCAGGGCCATTAGGCCAAAGGTCTTTGAGGTCATGACTAAGGCTGCCAGCAGCCCAGTCTCCTTTACAAGGCCTGAGAGCTAAGAGCCCTCTCAGTGCATCTTCTAGTCTCTGGTCTCCCACCATCTTGGGATGAAGCTCCAGGCCTGGCCCCATGTGGAAGTTTAACCCAGATCCTGGAGCCCCAATCTCCAGTAACCCAACATACCTTGTGGATCACTGCTGCTACTATCTTCAGCTCCCTAGTGTTTGGATGGTGGACTCACCTTCCCAAACCTGCCCTCCCTCATGACAAGACCCCGAAGAGAAGCAGTGGAAGGAGCCACAAGACAGAAGTTTGAGCAAGGAGAGATAAGAGTGGAATATTAAAGGAAGATGGATTCTGCTTGTACTGGCATAGTGAATGGAAGGTAACATGAAGTCAAGGGCTTGGAGTTTTAGAAAGAGGTTTGAGAAGATTTTTTTCCTTTATTTTATTGAGATAAGAAGGATATGAAAAAAGGAGTTGGAGAAGAATCTGTTAGCTATTTCAATCAGTTCTAACATTTAGCAAATGGAAACTATTGAAATAAATTTTGTAACATGGAATTATTTGAGTATAGCATACTGAAAGTCTGTCTTTGAATGATCATTGGGATGGATCCCAATCCTTAGAGTTTCAAGGGCTGCAAAAAGAGATGGACAGGAATATGAGACTGCCACTCTGTATCTTTGAAAGTGAGCTAACTGAAAACAGTGGGCTCTAAAAGTTGAGGTACTAGCAGCTAAGGGCTCTTAGGAAAACTGAGATTTTGAATGTAACCATTTGCGATTGTAAATCCAGTTCTGATTCAGCTAAAGCTTGTCCTGAAATTAAATCATAATATGGTCTCATTTATAATGAGATGTGTGGGATTAGGATAGTTGTAGTAAGTCAAAACTTAATGCAAAATGCTATCACTCTTTGGTACTGATGCCATATGCTTAGAAACTCCATGGATCAGAAAAGGCTGGATTCAAATCCAGTCTCAGACATGTATTAGTTGCATGATCCTGAGCAAATCACTTCACATCTGTTTTCCTCAGTTTCCTCATCTGTAAAATGGGATAATATTAGCACCTATCTCCCACAGTTGTTTTGAGGATCAAAAGAGATAATGATTGTAAATTGCTTAGCACGGTGCCTGGCAAATGTTAAGTGCTATATAAATCCTAGCTATTGCTATTTTCATTAAGTGTAACTCTATGGGGCAGATAGCTGGCACAGTAGATGTGGTGCTGTGCTAAGAATCAGGAAGATTTGCTGGCCTCGGACACTTTCTAATCATATGACCCTGGGCAAGTCATTTAACCCCATTTGCCTCACTTTCTTCATCTGTCAAATGAGCTGGAGAAGGACATGGCAAAACATTCAAGTATCTTTGCCAAAAAATCCCAAAATGTGGTCACAAAGAGTCAGAAACAACTGAACAACAATTACTGCTACTGCTACTACTACTACTACTACTGCTACTACTACTACTACTACTCTATATTGGTTTTTTTTAATGCAATTAGTATAGAACGTCAAATTGATGATGATTTTCTAAATAACAGAACTCAGAAATGCTTTTGAAGGAATTGATATTATTTATTTGGCAAAACAAAAATATGCAATATTTTTAAAATTAATAGTAGCATGTATTTACTTCTAGGTTTTCTTTTTAGGCTTCTAGCTTTTCTGGTATTGCAATTCAGGAGAAAGCATTGTATAAGAAATACTATTAAGTTGAAAATTGATACCCAGGGAGTATGAACTTGTATTATTTGAAAAGTAACTTCTCTTAATCTGGATGTAGTTTGATTATGAATTGAGCTGGTAAAGAATGTGTTCACAACATTTAAAACTATTAAGTATTTAATTTGCCTTTTTGCCAACTTTACTTTAAAATAGACAATAGCAATTTACTCTTTGGGGGAAAAAATTACTACAGACCTCTTAAGTTGTCATTATTTCTGAGGTTCCTTGGGACTTTTCTATTTGGGTGGAGTCAAAAGATCTTATCAACCCTGTGAGAGAAGTTTCAAAATAATGATGTGGTTTGATGAGGCACTGAGACCACCTCCAACCAAAGTGAGAGAACTTACAAGTTTGCTTATAGTAAAGAGTGAATTTTATCTGATAAGGTGTTTTGCCATTGCTTATGAAAATTATGAAAGTGTACCTGAATAATATGGATTGAAAGTTACATCCTTTGAAGAAATGAAAGCTATCTTTAGTTATATAAAAAGTATACTCTGAATTATTATTGATTAGAGAAACACAAATTAAGACAACTCTGAGGTATCACTCCACACCTATCAGATTGGCCAATATGACAGAAAAAGGAAATTATGTCAGAGGGGAAGTGGGAAAATTAGGACACTAGTACATTATTGATGGAATTGTGAACTGATCTAACCATTCTGGAGAGCAATTTGGAACTATGCCCAAATGGCTATAAAACTGTGCATACCCTCTGCTCCCCAATACCATCACTAAGTCTGTATCCCAAAGAGATAAAAAAAAAGGGGGGGACCTATTTGTACAAAAATATTGACAGCAGCTTTTTCTAGTGGCAAAGAATTAGAAAATGAGGGGATGCCCATCATTTGGGAAATGACTGAACAAGTTGTGGTATATGGTTGTAATAGAATATTATTGTGCTATAAGAAAGGAGGAACAACACTGATTTCAGAAAAACCTGGAAAGATTCATAGGAACTGATGCTGAGTGAATGGAGCAGAACCAGGAGAACATTGTATATGGTAATAGCAATGCTGTATGATGATCAGCTGTGAATGACTGAGCTATTCTCAGCAGCATAATGCTCTGAGAAAATTCCAAAGGACTTGTGATGAAAAATGCTACCCAACTCTGGAGAAAGAATTGATGGAGTCTGAGTGTAGATCAAAGCATAATATTTTTCACTTTCTGCATTTTTTCATTTTTTCTATGTATTTGTGTCTTCTTTCCCAAGATAACTAATATGGCAATGTGTTTTGCATAATTTTTTTTAAAAGTTACATATTTGAGTCAACTTAGTAACAATGGATCTAAGACTCAAAGATTTCATTTCTGCCTTAGAGGTTAATAGGCAATATGGGTATCTGTTAATCTGGAGACTTACAGTAGATGATACTTTTCTAGAGTTTGAAGTCAACTAACATATAACAATATTCACTGTATTTGTGAAATTCCAGAATGTGATTATTCTTAATTCCTAATGATTTCTTCTCCAGAATACATTTAAACAGGAAAGGTAAATAAGGTCTTATATATTTTTATATATCCTTATTGTTAATCATGATTTTCACATAAGAAAAATAATAACAACCTAGAATATGGTGTGATTAGTGAAATTTTGCCTTCAAGTAACATCTCTTACGACTGTAGTTTAGTAGTTTTCAGGGTTTTGATTTCTTTTTTATTTTATTTTTAATTTATGGAATAAAACAAGCATTTCCATTACATAATATAATTAAAAAGATGATTATACCTGAAGCCGTAAATCTACTACACACAACTCACTATTCCACTCAAATATACAACAAAATTATTTTGGAAAGGTCATTTTTTTCTTCCCTCTCCCACTGAGAGATGCTTACCATTAGACACAAATAGCTATATATGTGAAATTATTCTGTACATACTTCTATTTATCAGCTCTTTCTCTAGATATAAATAGTTTCTTTCTTCATATGTCCTTTATAGTACTTTTCCTCATAATATGACCACATACTTCTATTTAACCATCACCTCTCTGGATGCAGGTAGTATCTTTCTTCATAGGTCTTCTACAATTAATTTGGGTATTTATAATAGTCAAAATAACTTATTTGCTCCAAGTCATCCTTAAAACAATATTGCTGTTACTGTATACAGTATTCCCTTGGTTCTGTTCATTTTGTTCTTCATAATTTCAAGCAAGTCTTTCCATGTTTTTCTAAAATCATAGAGCTCATCATTTCTTATACCACAGTAGCATTCCATTACAATCATCTACCATAACTTGTTCAGCCATTTCCCAATGGACTAGAATCCCCACCATTTCTAATTCATTGCCACCACAAAGAGAGTTGCTATAAACATTTTAGGACTTAGAGGTTCTTTTCCTTTTTCCCTAATTATATTTGGAAATAGACCAAGTAGTGGTATTGCTGGGTCTAAGGTTGTAGGCAGTTTAATAAATTTTGGGGTATAATTCCAGATTGTTCTCTAAAATGGTTGGATCATTTCATAATCCCACCAACAATGAATTAGTGTCCCTATTTTTCCACATCTCCTCCAATATTTTTCACTTTTCCATTCTATCATTTTGGCCAATATGGTAAGTGTAAAATGAGGTTGTTTTAATTTGTATTTGTCTAATCAATAATGATTTAGAGCATTTTTCATGACTATAAATTGTTTTGATTTCTTCATCATGAAACTGCCTGTTTATCTCCTTTGACCATTTATCAATTAGGGAATAACTTATATTCTTATAGATCTGACAAAGCTCTTTATACATTTAAGATACAAGACCTTTATCTAAAAAATTGTCTATAACAATTTTTCCCAATTTTCTGCTTTCCTTCTGATCTTGACTACATTTGTTTTATTCGTACAAAATCTTTTTAATTTCATGTAATCAAAATTATCCTTTGTACACCAACCTGTGCTCTCTATCTGTTGTTTTATTCATAGATTGTTTGCTAATCCATA